TCTCGTTTTATCAGCATATTTCAAATACAAATCTCGTTCTTTATCGATTGGTTTCTTATACAATCGTGTTCTAGTTATCTCGTCGGAGGCCCGAACGGAGACGTCTCGTGTCGTTGAGCTCCTCCCACGTTCAGATTCTGGAAATATTCTGACTGTCGATCGGCACTAACGTGTTGGATTTAGCTTACGTGTACACAAGTGGGCCCGACATCTGTTGGCAATATTTTTGGGGTCAACAATATTTGTGTAGCAAAACTCGAAAGAGAATACAAACATTTGAAAAGTGCACAATTCACATATGAAGAATGGCACGACTAATACATAGAAGTTTGTCTACTTTTGAATTATTAGGGTCCGTTTGATTGCAATAGTGGAAAATTGGTGGAAAGAAAATGTTTTACAAGAAATTGATTTGTCTAGAAATTTTACTAGGAATTGTAATTAATTGTGTTTGATTGATATAATTTTTCATGGGAAATATTGAAAGTTTAGTATTCGTTTGACTTCTTTTTTATGGAAATTGTCTATTAAAGTAATAATTTTTTATACCATTGGGTCTAGAATTTGTTCCAATTGCAAAAAGAAAAAATTGAAAAAGAAATTATCATACCAAATATCATTCGTTTGGCTTTGTTTTGTATAAAAATTATCAATAAAAGTGATAAATTTTTTACCATTATATGTAGACTTTTTCCCAAAAAAAATGGAAAAATTTTTCCCATCAAAACATCAAGAACTTATTTTCCTTAAAAATATGGAAAATGAGAAAAGGTCAAAAAAAAAATTCTTGGGAAAATTTTACCTATCAAACACTATAAAAATTGAAAAATAAAAATAAAAAAATTTATTTTCCATGAAAAATAAGGCGAATCAAATGGAGCTCAAGAGGAAGTGACATTTTCTTCTTTTCAACTTTTCAACGTCGACTACTCTTTCTGCTAAAGCAGCATCTTTATCAATTAGGGAGCTCTCCAGTACTATATACATACTTTAAAATATTATAAATGTTGGGAATTTATTAGTGCGCATTTCATATTCATTGCTTTATTTTATGGTTTGATATATGATCATTTTCAAATACATATTTACACAATAAAATATTCTACATATTTACCAAAAAATTTTCCAAATTTTTAATCACACATTCTCCTAAAAATTACCATTCAAAACTCTTTTTTCTACAATAATAATTGTCAAACATGCTCGACGAAATTTAAACAATATTTCAATTCCCACAAATGATCTTCTTCATATTTAGAAAGAAATTGTGATTGAAGTTATACTTTTATTGAATTTTGCAAACTTCTTTACTTATCTTGAATACGAACAATCAGGATCTGCAACCTAAAACTATCCAATTGTCCAGCATCCAATGAAAATCAATATAGGGAACAAGAATAAGAGAATCATGATTTCTATTTTCTTATACTAACAAGATAATTAATTGTGTTATTATTATTTATCAAACCTTAACCGCTTATTAAGATGTCCAAGTGGACTTGGTTCGACACTTAAACTTGATATGATCAATTAATTAATTAATCTGATTAATTAATTTGACACATTAATAAGTAACACAATTAATTAATTGTCCCATCACTTATGAATTATTTAATTGGTATATTTCATTCTTTTAGTTCTTTTTTTGTGTATTACCCATTAGGTTCCTGATCAGGATACTTAACGATGTAAAATATTATTTTGATTTAATCAAAATAAGATAAACTAAAACACATTTTTAATTTATCATTAATTCACCTAGATTAATTAATTAATTCATATTCATCGTTCCAAATTGATATCGACAATGTGTAGGGCAGACATGTCAAAATGGGCGGCCTGGCCCGTACACGTTTAAACCCGTATACAGTATGTTCTAAAAAAAACGGCCCATATGGGCTTTCCGGGCATGGGAAAAAACGTGTAACCCGGACCGGCAAGCCCACAGGGGCCGGGTCGGGCCGTTCAGCCGTTTTATTTTTTAATGGATGGTAAAAAATACATTTTATAATTAGAGTGAAAATCGATAAAAGTTGGATAAAAATAAATTTTACGTTGATTT